TTTTTCATATATTTGTTGATTGATTGTATATAATCACCCACCATTTTACACTAGCATGAACCTAAGGTTTTTTTCCAACGCCTCAAGCTCACAGTACTGAGAAGAAGGGCTGTGACAAAGCATGAATGTGTAAGTCTTTGCTAGTTGCCTGCTAGAGGGATGAGTCACGCTCTCAGAAATAAAACAAGCTTCAATAAAGCCAATGATATCCCATTTACAGCCTTATATCAGTTTGTAAGATACTCTCATATGTGTTATTTACATTATGCAAACTGTTGACCCATATGATTGACAGCAAAATTCTAAAAACTATTGCTGCTTTTATTTGGAGGCTATAAGAAAGGTGGTGTCCAGGAAGAAACATCTGACTCTGAAAAGGAGTTAGAGAAGAGAAAATTCCCAAAGGGGAGAGTGCATGCAGGTGATGGCTTTGACAAGAAGGAAGCAGAGTCCCTAGGTTTGCTGAAAGAAGAAACGAGAAGCCCAGAGGCTGTGGAGATGGTGAAGGACCTCTGGCATAGAAGAAAATGAGCTTCTCTTCAGAGGCACAGGGAAGAGACTTTCTGTCTGAGAATCCCACAGATTGGAGGCTGCAGAAAGGACCAGCCTCACAAGCATCCTAGAGAATTCTGCAAATGGCTAGTCCATCATCATCAACCTCATGCAGAGACACTGTGATGGAAAATGTTAGAAAATCTATAGAATGACTATAGCTGATAAAATGCCGACGGTAATTAGATGTGAGCCTATCCAAACCGGGTTTATGTAAAGAAATATTTATGTTTCTTCAAAAATGGGCTCAAAAAGGGTTGAACCTTTTCTCTGTTTTAAAATAATACAGGTCCCTAGGTACTTGTCCCTGTATGGATAGCAAGCTTTCAAATACAAATAACCAGGAGAGAAAAATCCCTTGGTGCTCCTGAGCTTCTGCATGCTCACTAATGATCAGGAGAAAGGAGTAAACAGAACCCTCGCTAATGGTGAGACAGAATGAAGGAGGTGCCATAGACGCTGTAAGGATGTTTTAGATGAAGAAAATGTACTAGGGAAAAAAATGACATTAAGCTGGGGAAAATGCCAACTAATACCTCTGGGGTATGTCCAGAGAAACAAGGTAGCTAATGAGCTAAATAAACCTGAAAAGCAGCATTGCTGAAAGAGGCCAGAATGGACCTAGAATAAGAAAGAAAGTGGGTTTTTACAGCATCATCTTCAAGGTCAATAGGTTAAGTGGCAAAAATGGAGGATCTTAGCTACCTAACTGTCATGCTGGCTAAGACTGTGTATTAGAAATTATATTCTTGAAAAATCCATAACTAGGTCAAAGCCTAATTCCATACCTAGGCTCAGATAGAATGACTCTTAGGGGGGAAAAAAACTTATATCAGACAGAAGTTCACTTATTAAGGTTTACTTCAATAGTATTCCATGTAGGTTTAATGTTTCCTATATTTCCATGTAAGAATGTAATGTTAGGTGATCTATGATTTGCATTAGCCTTCTGTCACTCTTACAAATAGTTTAGCCAACTTATTAAAAGTTTTATTTGGGCTCATAGTTTCGGAGGTTTCAGCCCATGATTGATGGACTCCATTGCTTTGGGCCTGTGAAGGTGTAGTGTAACAGGATCATGGGGTGAGCAAAGCACCTACCTCCTGGCTGGGATGAAAAACAGGAAGAGAAAGGATCCGAGTTCCCAGTATCCCCAGATGATCAGAAGACCTCTTGCTAAGCCCCGACCTCTCCCACTTCCCAATACAATCCATAAGTTTGGGTCCAAACCTTTATCATGTGGGACTTTAATGGACACTTATCCAGACAATAGCATAATTCAATCCAAAAGAAGTTCTGTATATCAGTGTTTCAAGAAGAACTGAGAGGCTGGGGTTGTGGCTCAGCTGTACAGCACTTGCCTAGCATGAGTGAGGCACTGGATTCAATCCTCAGCACCATATTAAATAAATAAAAAAAGGTATTGTATCCAACTACAAATACACACACACACACACACACATATTTTAAGAAGAACTGAGATTTGCAAACATCCTATCTCTTGATGAAGTCTGGGAGTTACTAATGTAGAAACAAACTCATACACAGTATACATAGAGGTACAAACTCAAGTACAGTTAACTTTTCCATGTTTGGGGCATTATGACTTTATTACATTATGTAAGCCAGTATCTCATTAAACCAGAGAAAGAGAAAAAGAGGCCTAATGAACGTTATATAAATGACATATTCCTAGTAAGAATATAAGGTATTGGAAAAATAGGAAGGAATCCTTGAAAGCCATCTAGTACTTTCTTTTAAACACATCATTCAATACCAACTACTCAACATTATGCATCATTTAAATAGTGCATTAATATGTATTGGGTCCAAGAGGTTATGCAATATGCCCTTGAAATTTTTATGGCTGCAAAAGCAAAGAGAGAATAAAATTATCTAGTTTGACTTTCTACATCTTTTAAATACATAGGACATGTCCAAGTCTCTACCTTGCGTGTGAGGTGAGGAGATAACCCAAGAAAAGGGTAGAAAATTCATTGTTCCAACATGACTTAGCCCTGTCTTGCTTGAAGATAGAAAGTAGGTGTCATTTTGATGTCCCTATAGGCCAGAAAATCAGAGAGCTATTTCCATTGATAAAGTCTTGCAGCCTTATAATTTCTTTAGAGTTGAGAAGCATGGTTTTTTGGCCCTACCCTGGCCAACAATCCTCACCTGTGACTTCAGTTGACAAGCTGCCAAAGCAATTCCTTCACTACTTACAAAATGTAAGCTGTAAATTTTCTGAGTTCTCACACTTTTATAATAAACCATTACACAGATCTGTATTCTGATGGAGTAACCTCTCAAGGTGACTGCTGCAAATTAGGATCTTTCCTAATTCTTCTCCTTGGGTTGAGAAATCTTAGACTTGATCATATATGTAGTTATCTCGCTAAATGGGAAAATAATTTCCTTGACAAATAAATAAATAAAATAAAATAGAAGTGGGCTATAGCACTGATTGGTATCAAATTTCTAGAGAGTATCATTTTCTATCATTACATTAATATTAATGTCATCAAAGTCAGAAGTTATAAGTGATTGGAAATAATTTGAAGGAAATCTGTGACCCAGCCATACTTTGAGAGGTGTATATACTAAACTCTTATACAATTTGCTTTAAATTCTCAGCTCTCTCTATAGACCTTCCTGTAGCCAAACCTAGATCTGTGGGAAGGGAATGACTTTGGAAAATAATAAAAATCACAATAATTTTCTGCAATACTATCTCTGATTTTTCTGCATATCATTTTCCAATATACCATGCCAATATCTTTCCTCTATAGAAAGCTGTGTAATTGCTTCCCTATGCCTGTCAAGAAGGGGTGTTGGCATCTTTCTCACTAGAAAAGAAATATTTGTTATGCTTTGCCAATGTAATGATACTTCAATCTTCTTCAGTATAAAGAAGCCAGCTCAGATTGTTGTAAGATTTTATAGAAATTCAAAACTAAATTTAGTGTGAAAAATGTTGTGAGCTTTTCCCCTTCAGGGAAAAAAATATATCTAAATATTACTTTGAACTTATTTTAATCATTTAACTCATCTATTATGGTTCTGATATGATTGGAAGAGTTCCATTGGGTAAAAACATGGGATGGATACTAATTTATTGGTTTTATGGGTTAGACTTGTATATCTTTTCAGATGGCAATTGATGGAGGCAGTTTTCTCTTTTGTTTTGACTCTCTGTATCCCCAAAGAATATGAATGCATTCATCTTGTAACAGATGTTGCCATCTGGGATCATCTGGAAGATGTGAATACTAAAATGTAACTAGGTGACACCCCTTGAAATGAAATTTAATTATTCGTTGCGGCCTGTTGGCCTCTTCATGATTTTGAGCCTCAAACATTACAATTTTATAGGTACATGTTTAATAACCCAGCCGTGGGGATTCCAAAAACATTCTGAGGGATCTAGAGACCCACCTTGGATTCTTAAACGGCAGCACTCAAACCTTCAGTCCCAATAGCATGGGTGTGACTTAAGGAAACCTAAGTCAGAGCATGACTACCCTGAGACAGTGAGGGTCAGAAACTAAAGAGGTAAGAATGGGGACCAGGAAGCCCCTGCAACCTGGTTGGGACCTGTTTGGAACTGCAAAGCAATTTAGAGGCCTTTCTGTGTCTGTTGGATCTGACCCCACCCACCTCATTTCACAGGTGGATTTTACCCTCCATAGTAGCTCCAAGGACCAGTGCAGGGCCTGATGAGTAATGAGCACTCTATAAACACTCATGGTCTTCACCAGCACCATTCACATCTGACAAATGCCCTGCAGGCCTCAAGGCCCATATCTCCAGCAATATCCACAGTGATGGCTCCAAGATTTCTGAATAGAATAGGCTTAGGAATAGTGGTGTAGTTGGACGAGTATGTAGCAAGTACCTGATTTTCCTTCCATCTGTTCATTTGGGGTACTCCATAGGGAGGGTAGAGGTGCTGGGGGACAGAACACCCCCTGCTTCCAGCTACTCAGCACTGCTGCTGATTTCATTTCCTTACAACTGCCTTAAAAGAGAAGAGTTATGTCACTCCTTATGGATAACCCAATTATTCAGAGACTTAAGTAATTTTCTCAGTATCACAGACTGGGAGGGGCAGTTACTTGAGCACAAATGGTGTGAATTCAAAGAGCAATTCAAGATCGGTAAATATGACTTTCTTTTAGAAAGTTGGATTTAAGCCCCAAATCCATCAAGCTTGTTTCTTAAGCAAATGCATAAAGTTTCAAAAGCCACCAAGTTTTAGCTTTGCTCTTCCATTTGAGGGAATAAAAAAATATTCTGCTGCCTTATGTAAGAGATATGCATATGGACTCAGATGTCACATACCTCCAGGGTCACTATTTGAAACACATATTTAAAAGCAGCAGATTCTTTCACACACACACACACACACACACACACACACACACACACGCACACACACATACACACACATACACACACACACACACCAAGCCAGCCAGAACAGCAAAGACTGGGATCAGCTAAGTTCTGTCACTCCATTTCTCAAAGTTTTATGGGCACACAAAACACTTAAACACTGCTAAAAAGCTGATTCTGACTCAGTTTAGGATGGAGCCTGAATCCACATTTCTAACAGGCTTCCAGGGGATGCCAATGCTGTTGGTCTTTGGACCACATTTTGAAGAGCAAGGGGCTGAAGTGCCTGACCACCCTTTCCCATGCTAAGCTTCTGAACATGTGTCAAACACCTGCTGGGCCGCCTAGTACCTGGGCCCTGTCTTCCCTGCCATTTCACATGAACCTTTAAGCCTATCAATGAGGCTATGTCCAGATCATTCTGCTCCCATATCTGATCCTGTCTCTTCCCTTCATTACCCACATCCATTCCAGGTCAAAGTAGGAGTGAGGGGAGAATCCAGACCTATGAAGTATTCCTTTTCTATTTTTCTCCCCACAACCCTGCCTGATGATCTTTTCTTTCTCTTCTAAAGTCCTTCAGCACTTAAACATTTTACCTTTACGTACATTGGTCACTGATTTGAATTAGATTATACACTAATAAAATCATGTCTTCTCATTATTTTCTTGGTTGATTCTGTTTCAGTTTCCAGCTCTCTATGGTATGTCAGCCCTTAGTGAGGCCTTTTCAAAATACCGAATTTAACCTGTTCTCTCTTACCATCCCTCCTGACCTCCTGACTAGTCCTAGAACTCTCTTTAAGTTTCTTCATATCACTCGTCAAGATTTGAAATTTTCTTTTTTTTCTTTTCTTTTTTTTTTTGTTGTTGTTCATTTACTGTGTATTCTCTGTCCCCTCCCTTCACCCAGGAGAGGGACTTTGCATTGATTACCACTCTGTCTCCAGTCCCTGTATTGAACAATAAATAATCATTTCATAAAGAATGCAGGAACCACAGAGCTGGGCATACAAGAGGTGTTAAAGAAAATGATTACTAGATGAATCAGAGAGCTGTCATCCAAGGAGTAATCTGGAAGTCTTATGATTTTTTTTTTTTTTTACTTTTGAAAACTAGCTCTTTTTCTGTTTTCCTCTCTCTTATGTACCCACGGTAGCTAATATCACAATTAATTTTGAAAGAGCAGACATGTGAGTCACTATTAACTCTCAGTAATAGTATATGTAATGTTATAGATTATACAAAATAATATGAACATTAGGGTGGACTTCCACAATGTTTTGGGAACACAGGGCAAATTTAGGAGTGGGTCTCTTCTTGTCCATTCCATCGACAAAGCCTTCTCATCAAAGCCCTTACCAAGCTCAGCTTTCATCTGCTGCCAGGCCTGCCAACACATTCTAGTCTCTCATCTCAGACCTCAATTATTTTGTAAGGCACAGAATACAGCTTTTTGGTGTACACGGAAAATGGTAGAAAATTCAGGCTATTGGGGAAAATTGTATGTACAAAAATGAACCTACTTGTTAGAGAAAACAACCTCTGGTAGTTCTCCAGTTGAGACTGTGGTTATTTATAATAATATGAATGAGTAGGACAGAAATGAAGGCTGTCCCTGCCACAGGCCATTTGTCTGGAATAAAGGAAGAAAACCCTGTCTGATGTGTTCTAAAGAAGGTTCCTTAGATTTTGCATTACTTCTTGACTTTAGACTTTGTGGTGGAGTATCGAGGATTGAACTTCTTTGATATCTCTTGAAAACACAAGAAAAGGACTGGCTTACGACCTTGATATTGATAAGAGTTTCTCTTTGGTCAAATATGAAGTTCTTAAAAGTGAAGCTGGGTTGTATCTCTTCAGAGGTCATCTGTGGGACCCTGGTGACTAGAGGCACACACCTGTTCTACACTGCAGCGTTCTGTTGGGGAAGGCTAGAAAGGCAAACCACCTAACCTCTAACTACAAGCACCCGTAATGATACCCTCTGCCCAGCTCTGGAAATGCCATTCTAAGACTTTACAGCTCTGTTGCTCCATCCAGTCTTTGCTCTTACTTTCCCTTTCCTGCCTTGTCCATTCCCAAAGACCTCTGGTGAGGCGTTCTTTAATCTGCTCCTGCTCTCATATTTTTCTGTCTTCTCAGGTTCTTTTGGCTTTACATGTACCACTACCAAGGTAGATTGTGGTTGACTTGCAGATGAAATATTAAAGTTCAACTTTAATTTCAGATAAACAACATATTTGTTTTTAGCAGGAGTATACCCTGTGCAATATTTTTAGTGGTTAATCCTAGTGACTCCAGTTGTGCGCTTAATGTATTGTTTGCCTTTGTCATGCTTTTTTTTCTGTCATTTTACTTTTTATTATCAGGGATATGAAGAGGGTAGAAGAAGGAACAAAGAGGAAGAATGAGGGGGTCTCAAACTGGAGTGATGATTTCTCTCTTCTTATGTAGAGATGTCGTACAAAGCATGGAGAATCATTTCAGTGAAGTCCTCAAACTTCTGGTCCCATGTGTTGTGTTTTCCCAAATTTCTAAGTTGACCTGGGAAGTGACATGAGTTTGAAATCAGAGCTCTTGAGCAAACTGAAATTAAAGTATCCCAGCTTAGTTGCAAAATGAACAAAGTAGTAATGAGGAGTGTTTTTACCCTGCAGAACAGGTTCTCTGGAATAGGATCTCTGGCATGCATCATGTGGATAGGGACAATTCAGTCACAACAGCCAATCCTGGAACCCCTTATAAGACATGAAGTGCACACTGAGTCCCATGTAGATCCTAATGAACATGAATGGCATCAATTTGGGGGATGTCAATACTAATGACGGCTTAACTAAGTTTAACAAGAATTTTCAAAGGGCTGAAGTTTGGTTTATATCAACTAAAATTGTTTAGACCTCATCACAACGCTATGTGGAAGGTAGTGTCATTATCCCCATCATGGATGGGGAAACTGAGGTAGACAAGATTAAATGATTTAGTTACTTAACTAAATTAAGAAGTTAGTTAGTGGAGGAGATAAACTGGTTCCAGGACCTACTCCCCTAAAATCCCTCTGTTTCTGCAGCCTCAACAATCCCTGAAAGCAAGCAATTAAGCTACTGGCATAAGCAAACTCTTCCCCATGAGCACACTCCTGACGATGAGAGGAGTCTGAGTGTGCCCTTGGCAGGTCACTCTCTTCCCTTGAGCTGTCCAGGTTCCACAGTTGGGTCAGCCAGGCAAGGTTGATGAAATAATGAGGGGACGTAAATGAGTTGTGAATAAATTATGAAACCGAATGCATTGCATAAGGATTCTTTTTAAGAAAGCACAAATGAAAGGTTGCAGGTCAGAGTTTAATCCAACTAAACTAAGCTAATCTTTTTCTTCCTCTCTTTTCTCCCTCCAAGGCTTTTCCTTCATGACCATCCCTGTTACAACCTGCTCAGATATTCTGCTGAGCTCTGAGATCTAGAGACATCAGCGAATGATTATAATTAGATAGCCTTGGCCCTTCTGTCCTCAACAGGATGAAAGTGGTGTCCCACTACCTCAGAAATCATCCAAACTGAAATGTGAAACCAGAAGGAAAATAACTCCAGAGGGCCAAGAGGATCATTGTTCCTTCAAAAAATAACTTGACATAACTTGAGAAGTGCTGGGAATGTCTGCAAATGCCCTATTACAGAGGGAATAAAGTACTCCACTGGAAACAGATGTGATGTGTTTGATTTCCTCTGATACTCTGAGCTGAAAATAAAGAAAATTACTTAATATGCTAACTCTCTGGTTAAATGGAACAGTCACAGTTTCAAAGAGCTCAGTTTGGAAAGAAGCTTTTGAATAATAAACCATATATTCTGTTACAATCATCAACATAAGAAAAGGCTAGTCATGTCCCAAGACCCATTTGTCCAAAAAGATCCTTCTCCAAATCCCTCAGATGAGCTTTAAGTGTGCAAATGATGGCGATTATTTATGCAGAAATTGAAACTATTAATGGCTTAATCCATCTAAAATCCTAATGAAGTTCTTTGATAATATTCCTGTTTGTACAGCCCAGCAAACAGAGGATAGCAGGCGGCGCCCACTGTGTTCCTTAGCAGCAAGCTATGTAATGAAATGAGACCTCAGGCCCAATCTTTGTACAGAACACCAGATTATTATCAGGACTCCAGAAATGTGGACATTCAAAGCCAGAAAGGCTTTAGAAAACAACCGGACCTAGTTGAGTTATTCCTCCTTTGCAGCAATTTCCCTAAAAGGAAACAAGCCAATGTGGAATTTTTAAACTTTGCTTTTATTATAATTTGTCTTATAATATTCTAGATCTGAGTAGGAATAGTCAGGTGGAAGGAGGTGGGTTCTGAACACTGTTCATAATCTAGATCCACAATTTGATGAAAAGGATGACAGAGGACACCTTTTAAATAGGCAGGTGCAGGATTACCTTCAGGACAGATTTTTCCTTCATCCTTTCCCATCTCCACTGTAGCCTCATATATCTTGATACACATTTCTATCATCAAATCTATGCATTTTGTGTCTTTATTGCTCTTTTTGAAACGTATTGCTCTAGGCTTAAACAAGTGGATGCTGTGTACATTGAGATCAATCTTGTAATTAGGAATTCGGGTGGCAAAGCCCTCCTGAATGGGTTTTTATGGACCCCTAAAACAGAAAAACAGGATATACAATGCCCACCCACCATCTCCACCGCCAAAATATTTGTCTGGATCCCAAATGCCAGACAGCACTTGCTTTATCTGCTCTTCTGTGCCTCTCTTTCCTGAGTCCTGGCTGCCTCATTTCAATAGATAATTGAAATCTTTCTTACTTTCTCAATACTCCGTGGGGAAATTCCACTTGGAAATTGTCTTTCCCCTGTCATTTTTACTTTATAGTTAAGAGGAGAGGGATGAGCTGGGAATCAGGATTCCTCTCTCTCCCCTTTTTTTTCAAATGACGTAGGGAGTTTGGACATCCTCCCTACCCCCATCTCCCCTCTTTGATGCCTGATTCCTTGAGAATTATAGTTTTCCTTTTAATGCTTGCTGATTACCACATATAGTAGAGCAGCAGGGGCTACCCAAGGAGGAGCCTCGGAGCAGTTTCTAATCTCTGATCAGCCCCAGCTGCCCGCGTCCGGGGGAGCAGCCGTGATCCCCCCCAAGGCCGGTCACAAAGCCCAGCTGAGCTGAAGCGCGATAACATCACACAGAGGCTTCCAGAGTCCGCGGTGCGCCCTGCTCTGCGGGGGCCGCTCCACTCCACCGGGGCTGAGTTCGCCAGGGGACAACTTACGGTGTTCACCGGCCGTCCACGCTGCAAACTCCCAAGTGGGAGGGGGAAAAGCAGCCAAGGCAGCGTCGCGACGAAGAGTACAGGCAACAAAAGAGGAGAGAGAAGAGGTGCGGGAGGCAGGCAGAGAGAGAGACTGGGACACTATCCCGGGCTCCCCAAGAGCGCCCCTCCGATGCAGATGGGGAGACTCTCCGGGAGGGGCGGATCTTTCTTGGGGCCCTCTCCGGCCCACTGCTCAGACAGGTAGTTGGGAGAGAAAGAACAAAGGTGCCTGCGAAGGCAGGCGGCGGTCCCGGGGCGCCCCGGCGGCGGGG